TAATGTCGTCTCAAGATCTCAGTGGGGTGCGCCGCACGCGAAGTGGGCGGGGTGACCTACTTTCAACGGACGCGCGCAACGGACGTTCTCCAGCACCACCACTATTTTGGGGCAAGGTGAATGCTTAAGCTCGACGCCAAAACTTACTGTCCTGTGGAATGCTTCATGAAGTGAGGGAAGCGAAGGGGCCAGGTATTATGGTCAGGAACTCGTGCTAATAATCAACTTTGAGTAGCTACTGTTGAGACAATGAAATTCCGTCTGGTCAGAACTTTTGATTATATGGTGCATAGTGAGCTGAGCGTTCTCCTAGACAACCCACATATTCGCCCAAGTTTTCAATAGAAGAATGGGAATTGGACTGAATATAGTAGTAGCTATTGATCTGAGATCGATCTCCATCCTACAAGTGAGGCAGCGGGAGTGGTTTATATTCCAGTGGACACCAATCTTCTCAAATTATCACCATAACGATTCACTGAAGCAGGAGAAGCGGAAGGGACAGTCTTATTGCTACCTACATCGCTACCCGGATCATTACCGACTTCTCCCTCAAATTCAACATAGGATACTTTGTGTTGTGGTTGATAGTTAACATTTACTAAGGCACTGAACAATTCAGAGCTAGCAATCAGCCGGGGACCAGGGAAATCCATTTGCACAGGGTGTCGCGATGCCAATGTCTTCGGATTTCCCATCGTTATTTTTTTGGAACTTCCAAAATTCGTTTTTTCGTATCCACACAGGGAAAGTGCTGCAAGAATGTGATACAGGAAATATAAGTTAAAAGAATTTCAATGCCAGAAAGCTGCACTAAATCCTTTGCAGTCGAGTTGGAAGGAAGAAAGGGGTAGCTTTTCGAGTATGGGATATGAGGCAGCTACTTGGAAACGAATATCGTCATTTTCTGCTAATTTTTGATTGAAACACTTTTTTTTCTTCCATCCTACGCATCATCTCGAGATAGGGTGGTGGCGAAAGCAGACGTCTAGATGAGTGCTTCCCTTCTTGGAATCTCGGCGGTGCAAATGTTCGAGAGGAAATAATACAGCGCGGGGCTATACTGGAGGAAAAACCCTCGATTGGTACCATTGTTCGGTTTTGGTTTTCCTTGGGGTGACATTAGTGCTCGCATGAAATCAGTAATCCGGCTCTTTTCCTTCGACCTCATGCAATTTTCTTGCCGTTCGAATGGGAGCTTTGAAGATACAATCTTCGGGAAGGGGTAATCAGGGGACGACGAATTGAAAAAGGCAATTTTTACAAAGAAAAAAATCTAGTTAAGTGGTAATGGGATGGAAAATGGAGACTTTTTTTTAGAAAAAAAAAACCTCAAGATCTGTAGAGAAAAAAGAACACGGTAAGAATCCTGCGAATTACTTTTTTTTCTGTTTTTCTCGCGCTACCAGCTGGAAACAGTTTTGCTGTTGGATTAGGGAAATTAAAATGACATCAGGAGTACATTAGGATTAGCAAGAACATTAGTGGTAGTGGAATACGTCATTGTGGGGGATTTGTTGTAAAAAAAAAACTGGTGTGGGGGCAGAATTTTGAGCGGCCATAGATTGTAGATTTTCTTGGGAAAGGTTCCCGAATGAGCTTCCCGCTTTGAAGTGGCAATGACTTTATAAAGAGAGAGAGAGAGAGAGTAAATACTCAATGGCCGTCATGAATAGCTGTCATGCGCATGTGCCCCAACTCTATTCAGCACTCTGGAGAGGTTTCCAAATATCTCACCCCCTTACAATGATTTCTTAGCGCAGACGACGATATTCTCCTCAGTATTTTCATCCGATAGGGCTGAGGCGGTGTGGTGGTAAGTGGCGTAATATCACACACGTATGGTCAGGAGTTCGAATCCTGGATCGACATCCTCCTGGACTACCGAGCCTATACCTTCCATCCCTCCAAAGTCGGCTGACTGGTACCAGCCTTGTTTGGGAAGATAAAAGCATTGCTTTGTACATCAGCTGACCACCGCAAGCCATTGTGTAGGCTACCCAGGCAATCAGTACCCTTCTAAGATTCTGGATTGTGCGAGGCGCATCCTTCAGACAGTATTGATCAACACTAAAAGACTTTATCCTTTATTCTTCAGTCAGGCCCAGGGCAACTGCTAACGTGCGATATCCTTGCTTTCTTGGTTTTCTCTCAAAAAATCCTAAGACTTCCATCTATCCTGGATCTACCTATCAAGGCTTTTCCATATTTTACATTTTCCCTCGAACTTTATACTTAAAATATCATTTTGGAGCAGAAAAGAAAACAGAAAATTAAAACGAATGACCAGCTCATTGGGCTCTTTTCATAATTTGACAAGCAAATGAAAANATTAAAACTCACCGAAACAGCGTTCTCCTCGACGTTTTGTTTTGCATAGATACCCTGATGGGACGGCATAGGCTTGTAAGACACATGACATGAGTAGCATAGCCAATAATAGTCCATACATGGTGGACGACATTACCTAGAAACTGCTGCCATGTATTGGTTTCCTGTCGGATAAACATTTCCGGAAGTTCCACGAACAGAAATTAGTACAGATATACCATCAGAAAAAGGTTTGCAGTATCCACTGAGCCCTACGGTCGCGAAGCGGTTAGTTTAGGGCAGTTGGAATGGTTAGATTCGAAATAGCTATGACCAAACGCATCGCGACCGCACGCGAACATGGCCCGCGTTTTATGGAAGGCCAGTGTAGTGCTACATTCTATAGGTGTCACCACGGCTATATGGAGGACGATTGACCGGGGTAAACGTTGGCGAACATAAGTAAGAGAACTTGGAATTTTTCGAGAGGTCAAGCTAGCAGCTCCACTTGGATTAATTAACATCAAAGCAAGTTAAACTGATTCAAAGGGTGTGAACGCATGTCCGTTCGGAACCGCCCCTGATAACGGAACAGTTTTGAAGAAGCACATTCAAAGATTCGCCAACATCCACTTAGAGGATATCGTCTAGGTGGGCGTGGGCTGAGGTTATCTAAGCTGCAAAGAAGTGTTTCTCTCTACGTAAGGCTTCTTAAAGAGGATTCCAACTATCATGTGCTTGTATTCTGACCAAGCAAAAAGGGGACAGGTGAAGTTTCTCAGTTTCTTTTGAGTGATTATTGAGACGAAGCACTGAGACATTTTCTAACTACAAGGCGTCATTTAAGGCTAAAAATAAAAACATCCAACTGATGTCATCTTGAATCTCATGGACCCCATGGATCACACAACAAGATCGGGCACGGAACAGAGCTATAGGAGTTGAAAATACATAAGAATAACTCTCAGATATATAGGGTAGAAGTGAGTAAGAGTCAATGAGAGGAGCGCGGGCGGTTCTTGTTGTTAGAATTCCAGAGAGACGACAGAAAGTCGTTCAAGGAGCCGTGTACGGTGAGGGCAATAAAGCACGTACCAGATCAAAGCAGCACTAGCCATGGGACGTGAATCCGCAGTCGGGGAAACGGTAAATGTCGAGGTTGCCAGTAGCTAACACTCAGTACTCGTTGCAGTTAGAGCTGAGTCTGAACTTGGCAGAAGGATCTGACACTTCAAATTTCCAGAACTCTGCTTCTAAGAAAGAGAGGGAGACATGGGATGTTGGTAGAGACCAAATTATTCATTGTCAAAAAGTAGACACAATCATCCAGTAACTCAAAGTACGTCTGAGGGGTTTGGTAACCCCTGAAATCTTGACACCTGAAACCACCTGGAAACCTTGATTGTAGTAAGATGGACTAGCGAGGTTTGCAATACTTGAACGCCCACATTACCAAGAAAAGGTGATACATACAAAAGGCTATCTTCCACTTCGAAATGGCTAGCTTGAAGTGAGATAACGAAAAAAGAGTTTGAATAGGAGACCTTCTTGAAAATGTATACTTAAGAATGGATAGTGCGGAGAAGACTCAGTAATTGCTATCCTAGTATTTGTTCTTTTCCGAACAGTCTAAAGTCATCCAGGAATGATTCTGACTTGCCAAGCGGAATAATTGAAGGTGGCTGCAACCCATCACAAACTCGATAAAGCAGGAAGAGAGAGTGTAAAAGCGGGTTGCCCAGGGAAGGGCTTTTTTTGTGAATTGGTAGTAGCTCAGTCATGAAGAAATGAAGACTTCTGATGGGTGCAGCTGTGAGGAGGGAAGACGTGGGGCGGGTTTGGAGGGGAGGGGAAGTGCGGTGGAGCACTCATAATTTAGAAACTTCTTCTTCACACCTATTACATCCTTTTGCTGAAATTCCTTTCAAAGACCGTCGTCTATGTATATTCCATCCTTACTTTTCCCAAACAGTTTGTGAAAGAACGGGAGCGATCCCTTGGCGTTATCCTTGAAAATATCGAAGAATAATGAACATTGAAGTCTGATAGCTTAGGAATCCGTCAACGATGAATTGGCGTGGAAAGGCGTGGGCAAGCAATTGGAATAGTGGGGAACTAGTTACGTAGTTGTTTTGGAAATCCATTTACAACGTGTTCCCGCTTACGCCTTAGCTCCACCCTGGAATTCTGTGAAAATGGGAACTACCAAATTACTGGGTAAACGTTGGGATAATGCGATAATGGTCCCGTGGGAAGTGAAGAATCGAAGACATACGCTTCGAGAGCTGCCAGATCGACACTTCAACATTACACTTGCAAATGAAATTAATTGAATTCGCTCATGGCTATGCCCCGTCCTCGTCAAGTCATACTGGAAATGGAGTGCATACGATGAAATGCATGATTAAACCCTTGCTGTCTTTCGAGAGGTCGATATTGACGAGGTGTTCGTTCAGAGCGTGGGAGAATGGTCAGAATGAGTTGAACCGGTACTTCATAGACCAGTTTTGAAGGTTAGAGTGATTGGGTCGGATACAAGGTGGGGGAGGGAGGGGGGGGGGGGGGGGGGGGGGAGCTTCAAAAGATGTTAAGAAACCCAGTGAAGAGTGGATTCAGGATTAGATTACGGTATCTCCAGGCAAGGAGAAGACGTCGTTCGATGGCGGTCTTTGAAAATCTCTATCGTATCCTGAAGTAAACAGCGCCTTCACTGCACTTTTAAACCAAAAAGGAGAATTGGGTTGAGTCCTGCTTAGGTCACTCAGGCTTTCCATCTTCTCACAACCTTCAGTTAACTCCACATCGTCTCGGGAGGTAAAATTGGCCGATGTATTATATAATATTTCAATCTTCCGAAGTTATTTTCGAGAAGATTCAACTCCCACTACAGAACTCCAAAAGAACCTACAGTGTAGGACTCCTGCGCAGTACTTATAAATGATGGAAATTTTCTGCCTTCTCATGCCTATGAATCAAAAATTCGAGACTTTAGCCTCTTGGCTATTCCTAGACTGAGGTCAATTTATTCTTGCCCTATCCGAAACATTGTTAATGCGGAGGGAAATATGGAGTTCCGGTCTACCTCAACGAACGAAGATCAGGGACGCCGCCGCTTACGTCAAGGAATCGAACATCGGGTGAGCCGGACACCGGACATTGACATCGCCATGCGATTTTGTGATGACGATTTTGGACTAGGGTGGTTACTGAACCGATCCCTCGGGACGTCAATGAACACCAGAACGGCCGCCAGGGCGATGGCTAGACTTCTGAACCGAAGCACTTGACTAAAGGAGTGCAATTATTTCGTCAAGAGCTCCCGTCTATCCTCAAGCGAGGGTGATCCACTTGGTGATACTCTGGTTCGCGACAGGGACGAATGATGACGTTACTGGCGCCCACTCGATGAAATGAATGATCATTGGAATGATAGGTGACAATAACAGGCTATCCTTAGCCTATACACATACGGTCTCATATGTTTTTACCTATGTGATGAGTCTTTGAAAGGAAATGACATGGAAAATCTTCATAGACACGCATGAGAACCTAACAATAGTTGCTAATTGTTAAACATACGACAGTTAGTCACGGTGTGTTGTTGCTCTACATGAAAACAGGTGGCATGCTCAGAAATGAATTACGTCTTGAATTATAAACGCGGGGTACCTTATTAATGACGTTGTGATTTGGCAATCACCGTTAATTTCAGATCGTAGTGACTGTTCTGCTGCAATGTGAAATTGAAATTGCAAAGAGCACAGGATGAAGTTCTTGACCCGTCAATCTCATGTGGGGATGTATCCCCATTCGATTTCCCGCGGAATGGTAGTGGCGGTTTGAAGTGGTCGGGTTCAGCCCCTTATAAAGATCTCCGGTGACCAGCACAAGTACGAGCCAGGGATGTTGCCCTCCCAGACAAGCCTGGTTCCAATTAACCGACCCAGGAGGGTTGGAAGAACTAGGCGAGTAGGATCCAAGCCGCGGACCACGTTTACGATAATGCGCCACTTGTCACTACATTCCTTCTACCCTGAATTAACTCATATTATTATCCTATTGATCCCATTGTACCCTTACAGGTACACGTCATTGTGTTGCATTTGCAAAATAAACAGGTAAACAATCCGAGAAAGAAATAATTGAAATGCAGCTGTCTTCAAATTGCTTGAGCTATTCAGAAAGCCGACAATTACTAATTTTAGATTCAGGACTCTTTTAGACTTGCAAAATGAAGTGTAGCCCTTCCTAGATTTTTTGAAGAAAAAAGTCGGAACCTTCACGACCTGACCCTGATGAATGTCGCCTCAAGAAGGTACATGTGGCGTGATATGTTATCGCCTAAATACTGCTCCACTTAAGCGTAATATGTGATCGCCTAAATATGTAGAGCATGGGCTATCCTTCTTTGGTAGCCTACGTAGTCGACCCCCTGTAGAACGCGAAGATGGAGGGGTAGGACTGAAAAGTGAGAACTTCTATTACACAAGCCACTGAACAGGTACACACCTAGTCAAGACGGTCTAGCAATCTAGATTGATGCCGAAGGCATGGCGCATCTCGGAATGGTTCGACTGAGAGCCGTTATTCATTATGCTGTCTAACTTCTGGTGTACATTGGCAATGAAAACCAGAACTAGCTGAATGCCTGACGTGCTAACGTCAATCAATGGGACCAGACCCAAAGCGTACGTCTTCGCGAAAGTTCTGTCCCCATGACCACAGTATGACAGAACGAATGCCTGACAGCAACGTCCGGAAATATCCACGATACCGTTATGCCCTATTAATCTACGTGAATTGGAGGGAAAATGGGCCCATTCTCCTTTCATGAGAATCTGAGATTTATTTGGTTTCAGTGGGATTCATAAATATACTATAGGGCACATTCTAGAGTCTTGAATCCCTGAAAGAACGTAAATTGTTCTTATAGATGATTTGACGTTTTTTTTCTTTTGCAGGAGGTATATGTGAGCTGGGTAGTGGCAAGTGCCACACCACACCACACGCATGGTCAAGGGCTCGAATCCAGAATCGACGTTGGCTTAGG